TGGAATTATTATTGGTGTTTGACTGGCTGTAGCCCAGGAGGCCAGGGAGGCTAGGGAGAGAAGGCAATATTGGATATTGTGACGCTGACGTCTCAATAGGACCAAGTGGCGTTCTCTCGAAGCTTGTTGCCGTCTTTTGAATTCCTCCCGTTTTGTCCCTTTAAGAGAGCTACCGTGATGCTGGCGAAGGGTTCTCGATCCGAGGAGTTAGAATTACTCTCCTCAATCCTCTGGATCAAATCTGACTGACTTCCATTCACCAGGCGATATATGGCTCCTACAAGTTTAGCTCTTCTGCCAACTGATTGTGATACTGATACTGTAGAAACTGAGGACGAAGAGAGAGTGATAGTCTGTCAGGCTGGGATGATGTAGTCCCCTCCAGGCTGGGGCTACAGGTTTCCCCAGGCCAAGGCGTAGATCCCCCAGGCCTGGGGATTAAGGCAGCGTAATCGCTAGCTGCCAGGTACGAGCATACATGTGCAAAATTCAATTTAGGATTTCAATCAGGTGGCAGTGGTTGTGGTCTTGACGATGCGACGTAAACACGACACCTGCTGGTACTGCTGCAGCAGCAAGCAGCAGTAGCAAAGAGCAGCAAGCAGCAGTAGCAAGCAGGAGCAGCAACAAACAGGAGCAGCAAGCAGCAGCAGCAAGTAGTAGCAGCAGCACTAGCAGCAGCAAGCAGCAGCAGCAGCAGTAACAGCAGTAGCAGCAGCAGCAGCAAGTAGCAGCAGCCGCCGCCGCCGCCTCCTACGCCTACGCCTACTCTTCCTCACCCTCGTACACCCGTCCCCTGCCTTTTTGTTTTTTGCTTTGTTTTAGTCACCAGTTAGATAAGTAGTTATGTAACACCGCAATCTAGTGATTATCAGACGGATGGATGGACCCTCCGCCAGTCATTTCCTTGACTGACACACTATGTTTTTAGCGGTCTGTATAAAAAGTTAACCTTTTTTTTTTTGTCATGGTTGCATGAGTTGGTTAGGGCTTTAACCTCCCCAGCAAGTTTTATATCAAATTTAGACTCTGATATCCTACAACGTGGAGAATGAAAATTACATTATGGTGGCTGGATTATTATTATTATTATTATTATTATTATTATTATTATTATTATTATTAATTATGTTTAAAGGATAGCTCTAAGTCTGATGGGGTCCATGCTGCACTTAGGGAACGGAAGGTTAAAATAGGTTTGACCAAAGGAAGGGCAGAGAAGCTACTTTTCCCAAGATCAGGGGTCCTTCACTAGCATCAAGGTACCTCCCCAACCCTTCCCATGAAAAAATAAACCCTTGGTTCAAACAATTCACATCTTACCCCACAAATATGAAGCGAAAATTGCACGACCTTTCGGGTTGTCCTGGGCCATTATCTAGGCACTTTAATAGCTTGTAGTTAAATTTGAGCCATATCTAAATCAATTACAATGATATTTTTATCACCATATAACTACTTCAGGAAGGAATTATATCTTTTTTTTTATCTCTTCCACTTTTTTTTTTTTATAAATTACACTTTATAATGGACGAACTTTTTCCCCTACCATGGTTAAATGTCTCGGGCAGGTTTGTTTGGGAGACTTCGACTGTCTGCCAGTAACTAGGGAACTAAGAATAACCTTTAACTGGTGAACTATGAATAACCTTTAACTGGTGAACTATGAATAACCTTTAACTGGTGAACTATGAATAACCAGTTACTGGTGAACTAAGAATAGCCAGTAACTGGTGAATTAAGAATAGTCAGTAACTGGTGAATTAAGAATAGCCAGTAACTGGTGAATTAACAATAGCCAGTAACTGGTGAACTAAGAATAGCCAGTAACTGGTGAATTAAGAATAGTCAGTAACTGGTGAACTAAGAATAGCCAGTAACTGGTGACCTAAGAATAGCCAGTAACTGGTGAATTAAGAATAGCCAGTAACTGGTGAATTAAGAATAGCCAGTAACTGGTGAATTAAGAATAGTCAGTAACTGGTGAACTAAGAATAGCCAGTAACTGGTGAACTAAGAATAGCCAGTAACTGGTGAACTAAGAATAGCCAGTAACTGGTGAACTAAGAATAACCAGTAACTGGTGAACTAAGAATAGTTATTAACTGGTGAACAAAGAATAACCAGTAACTGGTGAACTAAGAATAACCAGTAACTGGTGAACTAAGAATGATGAGTACCTGGTGAATTAAGAATAGTCAGTAACTGGTGAACTAAGAATAACCAGTAACTGGTGAAATAAGAATAGCCAGTAACTGGTGAACTAAGAATAGCCAGTAACTGGTGAACTAAGAATAGCCAGTAACTGGTGAACTAAGAATAGCCAGAAATTGGTGAACTAAGAAAAGCCAGCAACTGGTGAATTAAGAATAAACAGTAACTGGTGAACTAAGAATAGCCAGTAACTGGTGAACTAAGAATAACCAGTAACTGGTGAACTAAGAATAGCCAGTAACTGGTGAACTAAGAATAGCCAGTAACTGGTGAACTAAGAATAGCCAGTAACTGGTGAACTAAGAATAGCCAGTAACTGGTGAACTAAGAATAATCAGTAACTGGTGAACTAAGAATAGCCAGTAACTGGTGAACTAAGAATAGCCAGTAACTGGTGAACTAAGAATAGTTATTAACTGGTGAACTAAGAATAACCAGTAACTGGTGAACTAAGAATAACCAGTAACTGGTGAACTAAGAATGATGGGTACCTGGTGAATTAAGAATAGTCAGTAACTGGTGAACTAAGAATAACCAGTAACTAGTGAAATAAGAATAGCCAGTAACTGGTGAACTAAGAATAGCCAGTAAATGGTGAACTAAGAATAGCCAGTAACTGGTGAACTAAGAATAGCCAGTAACTGGTGAACTAAGAATAGCCAGTAGCTGGTGAACTAAGAATAGCCAGTAACTGGTGAACTAAGAATAGCCAGCAACTAGTGAATTAAGAATAACCAGTAACTGGTGAACTAAGAATAGCCAGTAACTGGTGAACTAAGAATAACCAGTAACTTGTGAACTAAGAATAACCAGTAACTTGCGAACTAAGAATAGCCAGTAACTGGTGAACTAAGAATAGCCAGTAACTGTTGAACTAAGAATAACCAGTAACTGGTGAACTAAGAATAGCCAGTAACTGGTGAACTAAGAATAGCCAGTAACTGGTGAACTAAGAACAGCCAGTAACTGGTGAACTAAGAATAACCAGTAACTTGTGAACTAAGAATAACCAGTAACTGGTGAATTAAGAATAGCCAGCAACTGGTGAACTAAGAATAACCAGTAACTGGTGAACTAAGAATAACCAGTAACTGGTGAACTAAGAATAACCAGTAACTGGCGAACTAAGAATAGCCAGTAACTGGTGAACTAAGAATAGCCAGTAACTGGTGAACTAAGAATAACCAGTAACTGGTGAACTAAGAATAACCAGTAACTGGTGAACTAAGAATAACCAGTAACTGGTGAACTAAGAATAACCAGTAACTGGCGAACTAAGAATAGCCAGTAACTGGTGAACTAAGAATAGCCAGTAACTGGTGAACTAAGAATAGCCAGTAACTGGTGAACTAAGAATAACCAGTAACTGGTGAACTAAGAATAGCCAGTAACTGGTGAACTAAGAATAGCCAGTAACTGGTGAACTAAGAATAGCCAGTAACTGGTGAACTAAGAATAACCAGTAACTTGTGAACTAAGAATAACCAGTAACTGGTGAACTAAGAATAGCCAGTAACTGGTGAACTAACAATAACCAGTAACTGGCGAACTAAGAATAGTTATTAACTGGTGAACTAAGAATAACCAGTAACTGGTGAACTAAGAATAGTTATTAACTGTTGAACTAAGAATAGTTATTAACTGGGGAACTAAGAATAACCAGTAACTTGTGAACTAAGAATAGCCAGTAACTGGTGAACTAAGAATAAACAGTAACTGGTGAACTAAGAATAACCAGTAACTGGTGAACTAAGAATAGCCAGTAACTGGTGAACTAAGAATAGCCAGTAACTGGTGAACTAAGAATAACCAGTAACTGGTGAACTAAGAATAGCAAGTAACTGGTGAACTAAGAATAGCCAGTAACTGGTGAACTAAGAATAGCCAGTAACTGGTGAACTAAGAATAACCAGTAACTGGTGAACTAAGAATAGCCAGTAACTGGTGAACTAAGAATAACCAGTAACTGGTGAACTAAGAATAACCATAACTGTGAACTAAGAATAGCCAGTAACTGGTGAACTAAGAATAGCCAGTAACTGGTGAACAAAGAATAACAAGTAACTGGTGAACTAAGAATAGCCAGTAACTGGTGAACTAAGAAAAACCAGTAACTGGTGAACTACGAATGATGAGTACCTGGTGAATTAAGAATAGTCAGTAACTGGTGAATTAAGAATAACCAGTAACTCGTGAACTAAGAATATCCAGTAACTGGTGAACTAGGAATAGTTATTAACTGGTGAACCAAGAATAACCAGTAACTGGTGAACTAAGAATAAACAGTAACTGGTGAACTAAGAATAGTTATTAACTGGTGAACTAAGAATAATCAGTAACTGGTGAACTAAGAATAACCAGTAACTGGTGAACTCAGAATAACCAGTAACTAGTGAACTAAGAATAACCAGTAACTGGTGAAATAAGAATAACCAGTAACTGGTGAACTAAGAATAACCAGTAACTGTTGAACTAAGAATAACCAGTAACTGGTGAACTAAGAATAGTTATTAACTGGTGAACTAAGAATAACCAGTAACTGTTGAACTAAGAATAACCAGTAACTGGTGAACTAAGAATAACCAGTAACTGGTGAACTAAAAATAACCAGTAACTGGTGAACTAAGAATTACCAGTAACTGGTGAACTAAGAATAACCAGTAACTGGTGAACTAAGAATAGTTATTAACTTGTGAACTAAGAATAACCAGTAATTGGTGAACTAAGAATAGTTATTAACTGGTGAACCAAGGATAACCAGTAACTGGTGAACTAAGAATAACCAG